CCCCACCTAATTGGGACCAATTCTGCAAACATGCACAAGCTAAAGTTTAAGTGAGGAGATCCATTGAAGTCAATGGGACTACTAGCATGCTTCAGGTTAATTGATGCAAAAGTCATTTCAGGATCATAGCCTGAGCCTTTATAACCCATTGTCACAGGATCTCATTTCAGACCAAGAACACTGCAGCATTAAAACAAAGACAAGGAGAACATCCACAGTTATATTAAATAGGATAAAAAAATAAGGTCCTCATGCTCCAAGGCATAAGCTGAATAGGATTTAGGAAGAAACTTGCACTATAGGCAGGTTATATTATAGCTATCCACTACAGGGTTTATTGCTTCTCCTTGTGAAACATCTGGAAGTAGTCATTATCAGAGAGAGGAGACTGGACAACTGTAGATGGACCATCCAATATGTCAATAACTAAATTCTTTCCTGCAGTCCAGAACCAGGAAGTGAATGACAGTTAAAATCCCTTTAAATGAAGATGATCTTTTTCTGTTTTTATCAGTATTTATATTTTCAAACTAATTTATTTATTGGAATTTTTAAAATACTACTATAGGCGTGCTAGTCAGTGCTCTGGAAACTTGTTTCATCCATTTCCTGTGGTTTAAACAGGAATCCCTGAATTTAGATCCAGTGAGCAAGAATTTTTCCTTTTTTATTTATTGTATAATCTGCAAAATTGTAACCTAACAAGCATTTTGTTTCAAAATAAAGCAAGTCATGGTCAGCTTGGTGATGTTGCTGTTGTGACCTGTCACAAGAGAAATCCAAAACAGACAGACCCGTCACCTCTCTCTGAACTCTGGAAAGTGCACAGGTGGCATTCTGAGCCCCTGGGAAAAGAAACTGGGCTTCCACACAAACTTTGCCACCTGACAGCAGCAGTGACTTTGACAGCCTTCAAAAAGAGTCATATTTATGACATGGGTCCTCTGGCAGAAATGGTTAAATGTGGGCGCAGGGAGACATTGATTGGTGGGGATCCTAAAGATGCAGCCTGGCACACAGGAATTTAGTGGGTGTAGGAGATAAAGTTGCCATACTGAAGGAGCTTGCAACTGTTAGTACATCTCAGTGCCTCCTGATAAAGAAAAAAGTCACCTCTATATCACAGTATTTCCAGTAGTACAGATAACTAATTTTGTTGATGTTTTCATTACAAATTCTTATTATTTATGATATATTATACAAATGTTCTGCTGTAAGCGGGGGTTGTTTTAAAACCCACTTTGGGTGCTATAAGGACTGGGTTTCAGCATTAGCTCTTAATATCTTAGTTTTTGTTAGCTGCAACTTTTAACATCTTAAAATTATTTTTGGCTGTAAATAACACATTTCTATCACATTGAGAATGTCATTCTGTAAACTCGGTGCAGCAAGGATTATCTCGTACTCAGTGTTTGTACAGCACATACACAATGAGGCCTGATCCTGTTTGGGGCATTTGGGTGCTGCTGCAGTATAAACCTTAGCAGCAGCAATGAAATGTACTTTCACTGAATGCAGAAGGGCTAAATGGCATGTGAGATTTGATTGCTTCACTAACCTTACATCTCTGCAGACCTGAGTTCAAATCCTGTTTAGGTCACAAGTGAAAATGAGTGTGTTGATCTCAGTTGAGTGCCATTTTGTCCAGATTATACAATCACCAAATAGAATGGAACAAATGTACATCTTTAGCAGTATTTGTAAAAGAAATACCCAGGGCTGGAATAGCATGGTTGCTAGAGTCTGAATTTAAAGTACGTTGGGAAAGTTTGCTATCATTATGCTTAGGGCCCTACCAAATTCATGGTCCATTTTGGTCAATTTCATGGTCATAAGATTTTTTAAATTATAAATGTCATGATTTCAGCTATTATAATCAGAAATTTCAAGGTGTTGTAATTTTAGGGGTCCTGATCCATAAAGGAATTGTGGGTCGGGGGTTGCAAGGTTATTGTAAGGGGAGAGAGGTTGTGGTACTGTTACCCTTCTGCGCTGCTGCTGGAGAGCAGCGGCTGCTGGCCAGGAGCCCAGCTCTGAAGGCAGAGCTGCCGCAAGCAGCAACACAGAAGTAAGAATGGCATGGTATGGTATTGCCACTCTTACTTCTGTGATGCTGCCTGCAGAGCTGGGCCCTCAGTCAGCAGCCGCCTCTATCTGGACGCCCGGCTCTGAAGGCAGCAGCACAGAAGTAAGGGTGGCATGGTATGGCATTGCCACCCTTACTTCCGCGCTGCTGCTGACGGGGTGCTGCCTTCAGAGCTGGGTGCCCGGCTAACAGTCGCCACTCTCCAGCTGCCCAGATCTGAAGGCAGTGCAGAAGTAAGGGTGGCAATAATGTGAACCCCCTAAAATAACTTTGTGACCCCCCTGCAACTCCCTTTTGGGTCAGGCCCCTCAATTTGAGAAACGCTGGTCTCTCCTGTGAAATCTGTATAGTATAGGTAAAAGCACACAAAAGATCAGATTTCACGGGGGGAGAGGAGAGAGACCAGATTTCATGGTCCGTGACACAATTTTCATGGTCACAAATTTGGTAGGGCCCTAATTATGCTTGTTCCCTCCCTGTCATGAATACTAAATTAATCTTCAAATTAGAGAGAGAGAGTGTGTGTGTGTGTGTGTGTGTGTGTGTGTGTGTGTGTGTACATACACAAGTGGTAACTCCCAAAGGCCATAGTCAGGGCCGGCTCCAGGCACCAGCAAACCAAGCAGGTGCTTGGGGCAGCACATTTTCAGGGGCAGCATTCCAGCCAGCCTCTTCTTTTTATTTTTATTTTTTTTTGGCGCTTGGGCGGCAAAAGCCGAGAGCCGGCCCTGGCAGCAGCAGCGCCTGCACCGGGGGTGCCCTGGGGCCACTGTGGTTCGCGTCGGGGAGCAGCAGCCGCACCTTATGGCCGGGCGGGCTCTGAGTGCGGGACACTCGGGCTGGGGGCCGCCCCTCGGGGCACACGGAGCCGCCTGCAGGTGCCGCAGGGCGGCCACCCCCCAGCGCCGCAGCCGGGGCTGGGTGAAGCGGCCAGAGCCGCCCAGGGACTGCAGCAGGGCGGCCAGGAGCAGCAGCAGGAGCGGGGCCATAGAGGGCGGGGTGCTGCTGTGCGGGGCCTGTGTCCCGCTCTCCGGGGCTCCGCTCCCTCTGGGGCTGCCCTGGCTCCTCAGCCCCCTGCCGGGGCGGTCCCCCAGCTCTGTCCTCCCCGGTCCCAGCCAGCCCTAGAGGCGGGAGCCCCGGCTGGAGGGACCCTGGGCTGAGGCGCGGCCTGGGAGCCCCACTGCTTACCCCGACCCTGCCAGCGCTGGACCGGCTGAAGGCGAGGGGGGAGTGGGCGGAGTCAGCACTGGTGGGGGGAAGCCCAGCACTGGGGCAGCAGGCGGTGCGGGTGGGGAGGGGGGAGAGCCCAGAGGTGGGGCGGCGGGGGGTGCGGGGGGGGGGGGGGAGCCCAGGGCCGGGGGGGGGGGGAGCCAAAAAATTTCTTGCTTGGGGCAGCAAAAAACCTAGTTTTTTGCCCTGGCCATAGTTGGGATTGGAGTCCCATTGTACTGGGCAGTGTACAAACAAACAGGAAGACATGGTCTCTGTGTGGAAGAACTTATAGTCTAAAAATATGGAAGATAAAAGAAAATGTTCACCAGGTAACACCTGATAAATCAGAATGTGATGCAAACACTTTATCGTATCATGTCATAACAGAATCTTTCATTTTTTGCTAGAATTAGTTCTCAACAAACTATTTCAGTGACTATTTGATATAAACAAGAACTGTGTTTTTTCTCATAATGGAGGATTAATATGGGACCTAAATTGATTACAGTATTTGTTATACAAGTTAGCATTTTCAAGGTTTGCACTGAAACATCATTATTTACAGAATGTTATAGGCATAACACTTAACAAAATACACAATAAATAAGATATTTGTCCAAGAACCAGCTGCCTGTCTGAATTGAGGAGTCAGAATTTTATACACTGATAGCATTACAGCCAGGTCATAAAGGTTGATTCGTATAAAAAGGACCTCCAGTTTCTATGGTGCAGAAACAGGACATATCTGGTTTTTGAACTGGGTTCAGAACTTATGTTCTTTGCTGCCTAGGCGGTGCCTTACTATGTTTATTAGAAATTGATCTTTTAGCAAGAGTCTTGTAATGACATGTTCACTAGGGTTACCATATTTCAGCAACAAAAAAGAGGATGGGAGGAGCCCCGCCCCCATCCTGCCCTAGCCCCGCCGCTGCCCCTTCCACTCCCTCCCACTTCCCGCCCCCCTCAGAACCCCCAACCCTCCCCCCCACTCCTTCTCCCCTGATTGCCCCCTCCTGGGACCCCTGCTCTTAACTGCCCTCCAGAACCCCACCCCCTACCTAAGCCTCCCTGTTCTTTGTCCCCTAACTGCCCCCTCCTGAGACCCTACCCTCTACCTGTACCCTGACTGCCCAAAACCTTATCCACACCCCCACCCCCAGAAAGCCCCACCCCGAACTCGCGACCCCCCCCGCTCCCTGTCTCTTGACTGCCCCCTCCAGAACCTCCCTGCCCCTTCTCCGACCCCCTGGCCCCCTTACCCTGCCGCTCAGACCAGCGTGCCGGGGAGGAGGAGCAGGGGGAGGACCTCCAGACTGCCGGTGCGAACGGCCGGCTGGTGATCTGCGAGGGAGGGAGGGAGTGCTCTCAGTTGCAGGGGAGAGGAGGGGGAAGCGGAGGAGGGGCTCTCTCTGGCTGTCGGAGCCCCATGTAAGTGGCACCATCCGGCCGGCTGCCCTGTCAGCCGCGCGCACTCTGCATGGGGGGGAAGTCCGGACATTTACAAATTCCCCCCGGACGCTATTTTTAACTCTAAAAGCCGGACATGTCCGGGGGAATCAGGACGAATGGTAACCCTAATGTTCACTAATGAGTTGACATATTTATAAAAATGTGTGTGAGACAGATATATAGGAGAGACCATTAGAATATTTTTGTAACATTTTCCTTAAATGTATGTGTTTGTTTTCAACCATATAATCAGGTTCATCAGCACCAAGACAGGGGAGAAACCTTCCAATGCCAGCTATGCCCTTTCACTTCTTCACGCCACTTCAGCCTGAAACTCCACATGCGTTGCCATCAGCACTTCCTCAGGACAGAAGCGAAAGTGAAAGAGGAAATCCCAGAAACTGAAGTCAAGGGGTCGCCACAGCTAAATAATGATTCCTGCCCTGGGCAACAGAGGGAAAGAGGATCTGAGCTTACAGGGACAGCATCTGTGTCTAAAACACTTGAGGTGGCTGGGCAGGCCAGTGCTGGTGTCCCACCTTTAGTAGTAAAGGAAGAACCCAAAGATGACAACAGCATCTCAGCTACATCCTTTGCTTTCAGCACTGTTGACAGAGCCACGAACAACACAAAGCTGAAAGACTCCTCTGACTATGTGGCCAATACAGCCTCAGCACTATTCAGCCAGGACATCTCTGTCAAGATGGCATCAGATTTTCTCATGAAGCTGTCAGGTAACTGAACGGCAGGCAGCAGCTGCTGCTCCTCCTCACCTTAAGAACCCCCTTTGGTCTGCATCCACTAATTCTTGGAATTGCCATACGTTTATTTTTTTCACCTGACTTAAAAAAAAAAACAATTTCCTGTTTATTTTTGGGAGGTCACACCTAATTATTATATTAGAGGGCTGGGAATAGGAGCTCCAGATTCTGTTATTGAGTCAATGTGATGACAGACAAGTCCTCTTGGGTATGATTTTCAGAAATGCTGAGCATCCACAATTGCAGCTGAAGTCAATCAGAGCTATTGTTGCCCAGCATCTCTGAAAATCTAGCCTTTAACCTTCCCCAGCCTTTTACCATCTCTTAAATGGGGCTTATAATGCTTGACCCGACTTCATAGGGGTGTGTGAGGCCTAGTTAATCAATGCTAATAAAGAATGGAAGATGTTACTTCATTTTCTTGATTATTATCATCAAAATGTTGGTAGCCTAAGAGGCACGTGAAGAACTTCTAAGAACCTTTGTTTTTAATTGAAATCCCTATTTAATGCAGACCACGCTTCTATTTTTTCCCCTCCCTCTGAGTGTTGCCTGCAGAATAATTTTATGAAATTGAGTATATGTGCCTAGGGAGAATCTGTTGTATTTTCTGTCTTCTATTGTTGGTTTGACTGAACGTTTCAGTTTTGGGAATATGCCAGTTTTGGGAATATCTTCAAAGGTTGGGCTTGAAAATTTAAAAGAGAGGAAGGGAAAAAATGGTTGGTAGAGAATCAGTTCTGTCTTACATGGTGATGGCAGTCCCCAAGGTGATTTCCATATGCCATTTCTGCCCTTTGGAAGTTTACAATACCCTTTTAAATGGAGAATAACTGGTCATTGCATTCCTTTAAATGGAATGTGACTTGCATTTCAGTAAATGTCATTGCCAGGTGAACCAGAGGATCAAGCTCTCGTCTAATGTCCCTTTGCTCAGTCACACTTCAGTCTTGTCTTTTGGAATGGCTTAATGTCCTCATCTGCCCCAGATCTTTGTACTTCTGGGAGTACAGAGACTCTTACCTGAGAACACAGGATGGAACAAGGAGAGATGGAAAATAAAGTCTCAGGGTTCGTAGAGCCGACCCAACACAAAGCAAAAGGGAGAGGAAAAGACGAATGAGAAGTCAGGGATGGGAATAGCAAACAGCTCTCATTACGTTTCAAAAGAAGCTATGGAAACTTCTGGATTTTAGAAGTATATGTTGACTTTTTTTCCCTTTTTTGTTATGGAAAAAGATTTTTTGTTTGTCTGCACTTTATTTTGTTGTTGCTGTTGAGTTTCAAACTTAATCCCTAGAAGAAGCCCATTTTTTGTTGTGGTTCTGACAACTAGTTTAGATTAGTGTTGCTTAAGAGCATGTTATGCAGTAAGTGGCTCTCTAGACCTAAGCTGTACTGCACTGTAGATAATAGAGCTCATGATGGCTGCTTAGAGCAGAAAGCAAGAGGCAAAAAAGCCTGATAACTGAAAAAAAAAACCCACAACATTTTGATCTGTTGTTTTTCATGTAACAGTTGATGGGGAGCTGTTTACAGTTTGGCAGACAATCATGTTTTCAATGACTGATCTGTTGGCATCAGAAAAAGGATACAAATGTACATTATTCATGCAAAAAGACCCATGCAGTTATTTTATGGTGACTTACTAAAGGTCCTGAAACCTGACTTGTATGCACTGTTACCTAGCAACATGCTATAAAGTCACTCGGGGAGTGAGATGTATCTGTAATTTTGTGTGTGTGCATATTTGGATGAAAATGTACTGCCACCATCACCAAGTTTACTATACAAGAAAAGCTATGTTAAAGGGGAAGGAATGTATTTTCCAGAGGGGTTGATATTTTGAAACATAATTCGTAATACTTTATGTTTAGTTGGTGCTATTACCTATGCAATATGTGTGACTATATAGCAGTAGCCATGCTCTTTTATTGAGCAGGTCTGATAAATATTAGCTGTATTTTTTTCTGTTTCCAGGTTTTTCAGTTAGTGTACTGAATCCAGTCCCTTTGATTAGTTACTTATAATGACACTATTAACTCTCAGCCCTTAACTTTTCAAGACTATAAATCTTTTGACTTCTCAAATGGCATGTGACGGACTCTTTCCAGAGAAATTGTCGGGCTAGATGTGACTCTTTAGTTTTTTTCAACTTTTCTGAAACAGAAGATGTAAACCGATTCAGCAATTTTAAAGTCCAAAACCTAAAAAAAAAAACCTGAAATACTTTCCAGATTTTATCATGTAGAGTCAAAACAGTTTAATTTAGAAAAATATTTGCAAGCTGTGTGTGCTAGTGCTGCCTAGTGTTCTAGTTTAAATGAGGCTGGTCTACAGATTTTATTTGGTATGGGGCATAGGACTGGAAGGGACCTGCTGAGTCATCGAGTCCTGTCCCCAGCTATTGCAGGGAACCCGGTCATAATCCTGTTCACAAACTTAGCAAGCTCTATCTTAAAACTAAGGTTGTTTGCCCCGACTACTCCTATTGAAATGTTGTACTAGAACCTCGCTCCTCTGATGGTTAGAAACCTTCCTCTCATTTCCAGCCTAAATTTATTCATGGCCAGTTTATATCCATTTGTTCTTGTGCCAACATTGTCCGTTAGCTGAAATAGCGCATCTCCCTCCCTGGTGGTTACTCCTCCCCACAGCGTATTTATAGAAAGCAATCATGTCCCCTCTGAGCCATCTTTTTGCTAGGTTAAATTAACCAAGCCCTTTTAATCTCCCATCAGAAAATAGGCTCCCTATTTCCTGATCATCCTGGTAGATCTTCTCTGCACCTGTTCCAGTTCCAATTCAATTTTCTGGAACATGGTTGAGCAGAATTGCACACAATATTTTAAGGGAGGTGTCACAGATCTGCAGGTCCAGTGCTCTGAAACTGCTTTGGAGAGGAGGACCCCTTCAGTGTGCCAGACCCCGTTAGGGCCTCACTCTTTCATTAGAGTTAAGCCATTTTGCTTCACCGCCTCCTTGGACTGAACCTTAGAGCCTTCAGCACCCTGATTCACACCATGAGCTCCCTTCAGTGAGTCCACCTGAGATGGGCATCTGAGGGAGACTTATACACACAAAGGAGGTAATGCACCCCTACCTTCAGCATCTGCAGTGACTCTCAGCCAGTGTTGTAAAAACAGTAGGCTTTATTACAGCATTTCTCAACCAGGGGGTCCAGGGCCCTCTTGGGGTTGGGGGAGGGGGCATGAGCAGTTTTCAGAGGGTCCACCAAGCAGGGCTGGCATTAGACTCACTGGTATCTAGGGAAGAAAGCCGATGCCCTGCTGCGTGGGGCTCAAGCCCCAAGCCCTGCTACCCAGGGCTGAAGCTACAGCCTGAGCATCTTAGCTTCACGGGGCCCCCTGTGATGCGGGGCCCCAGGCAACTGCCCTGCTTGCTACCCTCTAATGCCAGCCTTGGCTTTTATAAGCAGAAAAACAGTCATTGTGGCACAGGTGGGCCGTGGAGTTTTTATAGCATGTTGGGGCAGGGGAGGGGCCTCATAAAGGAAAAAGATGAGAATCCCTGGTTTATCAGATGTGTGGAATACAGCGTAGAAAGACCTTGGTTAGCACAGAGAGAAGAAAGTTACACCTTGGTCCATTCTGGTTAGCCCAGAGTCCCAGCCAAGCAGTGTGTCCCTCTTTGGCTCCTGCTCTGTCCCCTCCTGTCCTCTTTGTGCAAATTCCCCGGCGAGTCACACCTGGCCCCTCCTCAGTCCTTTGTTCTCCAGCTGGCCAAACATGGCTGGCTTCTTGACCATCCATGATCGTTAGTTGCTAGGAAGCAAATGTCCCGGGGTCGGCTTTGCCATTGTCTTTATGGACTCTCCAGTGACATGGGCCACAAACTTGAGGCAGCTAGGCTTTATCCACACTGTGTGGTAGCCTGCCTGAGAGTAAACAGCCCTTTTCCATCCCCGAGGTGACCATGCAGCATATAAGGGAAACTGAGGTACTCACAGTATTCATACAAAATATTACAGAAAATTCCCACTCTGTTACATGAGGTCTTTGCTGTACCTTGTACAATGGCATTAATACTTCTACTGGAAATGCCTTGCTTGATACATCCTAGGATTGCATTTGCCTTTTTCACAGCCGCATTACATTGGTCATAGTTATCTTGTGATAGACTAATATACCCAGGTCTTTCTCCTCTTGTGTTGTTTCCAGTTGATAGCAGAAGTTCTTATTTGTCCCCATGACTTTGCACTTTGTACTATTAAATTTCATCCTATTTCTATTGCTCCAGTCCTCAAGATTATCCAATTCTTCCCTTATAATATCCCAACCTTCCTTTGTATTGATGGTACCTCCCAACTTTTTATCATCAGCCGATTTCATTAATGGTCAGTAATTAAAATATAAAATAAGATTGGTCCCAAGACCTGATCCTTGCGAAACTCCACCAGTAACCTCCCTCCAGCTTGATAGTTCTCCTTTCAGCACAGCCTGTTGCCAGTTTCGTACCCAGTTTATAATTCTTCTACTAATCCCCATCTTCTCCAGTTTAATAATTTCCCTTTAGCTTGTTAGCTACTGATTATGATCTGCTTGACTCTGTGTAATGACCCCGATCCAGCAAATCAATTAAGCATGGGTTTTACTTTTTTGCATTTACTTAGTGCAAACAGGCCTAAAGTTAAACACGTTCTTAAGTGCTTTGTTGAATCAGGGCCAACATGTTTTTTCATTTTGTTTTAGTTTTCTGTACATCAATTCCATACAGAAACCTTGTAACTGCATTTGTAACTTAATCTGCAGAAGGTTAGTTTCTATTTTTATGGTTTAAATTTTAGCAGATTCAAAGTATGTATCTGTGTGAAAATTTTTCCCTTTCACTCATTTTAAAAATGTTGTTTCCTATTGTTATAAAACAGTGTTTTCTCACAATAAGCCAAATTGCCATGGCTAGCATAGTATAACAACATCCTTACTGTGCTAGTTTTATGTGCGGTGTTTACT